AAAGTTATTTATAACAGAGTGTGGACCAGCTAAGGGGATGTAGGACATGAGTCATGGTAAGGCAAAACACAATTGTATGGCTGTTTCTGAAAACCCAATAATAGATTACTGTATCTAATGAAAAATGAATAGTTATTTTAGCTCAAGAAAACACGGGTTTCAAGAAAAGCAGAGCCATATGTTTATCCGTTTGACTAATGATACACAGAATTACATTAGGAAGAAGGATGAATCGATCAATTAGCCTTATACATTCAGATTGAAATACAGATTAAAAAACAGATGATATTGATACTGAGCAGTTCTATAAAAAGGCTCTTCATAAAATGACATCTTTAAAGGGTCAGTGTAAGCACCATAACAACTTTGCATCTCTCCAAAGCTGATTGTGCTGATTCTGCTTCCTATTGCGTGCCCAGCGAGGATTTTGGCTTTAGCAATTTGCAAAAATCATTGCAGCGATAAGATTACCCCAGCTCCGTGACATCAAAGGATGAATATTACTTCTTCCTTTGCAGTCCAAACTCTGTCCATCTTTTACGCAGAATGTACAAGTTACACATTTAACTTGGACAGAGATCTCTCCTCTCTCTTGGAAAGAGCCTATTCTTAGTATGTCATTTAGTATGACACATATGTCTGTGTGACATACTAAAGGTTAGGACTTTAAAATATTACAGGATTGTGTTTTATATAAAATAAATATGTGGCTTATCTTATGGGAAATAATATATGTGGAACATACAACATTCGCTATTGGGGATAAATTGGGTATCTCCTTCTTCAATTTCTTTTATTTTTAAAGTTCCATTAATATATACTGCTACTACTCACACTTTTACACACACTATTGCACACACACACACACACACACACTGCTGCTTGAGAAAGTTGTGCCTACAGGCACTCGTGAAGTAAATCCAGCCCTGTGCAACACCCTCAATTATGCTGCCTCCCCTTATCTGTTGTGTTTGTCCCTGCTAGGGGACATTTTCCAAGCATGGCAATCCTCACTTGCAATACCGATTTAATTTGATTTATTATCTATGTTTATATAGCTTCCACAGCTTCTACCATACTGTGTAATATTACAGGGTCATGGACATACTTAAAAGCAAGAGAAATCTCAATTTATCCTTCCTGGACACATTTTTTATAAATAAATATACTTACCCAGGGAATTGTGAGTTACTGAGAGACTAATGGGATTACAACATGTAACAACATATAGGGATCATATTACCAATATATTTCAAAGTTCTCCACAATTCCTAATTTAGTGATGATAACCCTAAATATTATTTTAACATTACATGTAAGTTTCGGATTCCTATTCCTATGGCGATAAGTTGTTCATGTTGATCACGGAATTCAAGTTTCTTCATTCCTGGAATGCTTCTAGATTGCTAAAATATCCAGTATTCTAGAACTCGTGTTAGAATATCAAAATGCAGAACATTTTTTTTTTACCAACTCCACAGTCACAGAGAAGATGAGCAACCATATTTCTTAGATGATTCCAGGTACCACCTGGAGCCATAGTCAATTACACATTAAAATATAGTGTATTGTTTTGGTCTGTCATCAGTAAAAATAATATTTTGGATTCTTATCCTTGTCCAACTTAACATTTTTTCAAACTCATTTCTTGCACATATTACAATATATTACCGGGGAAGGTTATTGTTCTAAAAGAAAATACTGTTACTCCTTCCTTTGAAGATATAAAAGACACATTAATAACTTTTAACTACAGAATGACTGGGCCCTACTTCTTATAATATATTAAGAAATATGTATTTATATAGGTTTTTTTTCTAGAATTGGGAGAAACCATTTATATTTCAATTTAATTTATTCTGACATTTTAAAGTTTACTAAGTACCCATCTAATATTAAGTATCTATTGAGTTTCAATATTTCAATCCATTTATTCTCAAATAATCCACAATTATGGAGCTGACATAGATAACTTTTAGAGTTCAATAACAGAAGGAGGTTTTTGTCCTTTGCCTATACCTGTTAAGTTGAACGGCTTCTGTTGGCGAGTGCACTGAGGGGATGGGTGGAGAGGAGAGGGTGGGGTGGCGCTGGGTGGAAGTGGGGGAGCAGGTGAAGACGGTGTGGAGGATGTCGTAGAGGAAGGGTTGCTGCTGGAATCTGGCTGGTAGGGCACTGGAATATGGTCCTGGGGAAACAAAAGAGAAAACACATTGGGAAGCAGATGAGAGGAAAGCAGACAAACTGTGACATATTGGGTAAAATTAAGATTTGAATTCAGCTTTTATCAGTTTCATAGACTGTTACGATCAATCACTGTGAATTAGGGAGACTATGTCTAATTTGTGACGACACAACTACATGAGGGAACAAGAAGAGAGAAACAAAAAAAATGGTCCACAGTCAGTGGACTTACAATTCTCTTCCATTCAGCTTAAAGTGCACTAGCAACACATCCTTGTGTGACACCAAGTGAAATGTTCATCTATTAACGACTTAAGAATAAAAAATAAAAAAAAGTCCATGAGACAAAGAAAAAAGAAATGTGGTCACCGTGATAGAAATATATTACCTTCATTATCGTTATGGATTTAAAATATGAATCACAATCACAATTGTTAACGTATCAAAATATTCCACATGTAACACACCCCAAAACCCAGTGAGTGATCTGCTACAACTAGGAGTTTATACTCAGAACAGCGACTTTTTAAGAAATCAATCTCAAAAAGTAGTTCAAAAATTAAAATAAAATGGAGAAACACGAAAAAAAAGGTGTTTTTTTTTCCCAACTCACATTTTCCTGTTTCGATTATGGCCTAAATATGGTTATCCTATAACCAGGTCACAAATCACTATTTAGTGAGATAATACCACTAGTGGCTGTTAGCTCATAGGATGCAAGCTGGTTTGTAATCATTAATTGCTCAAACAGTTTATCTGTTTTCAAACTAAAGACAAGCCAGCAGTGTCATTTGTGTTAAGTTATTCTTCTTAAAAAAAATTCAATAAACGCTAATAGCATCCCTTAGTTGTAGAAGGCTGTAAATCACCTGTCTGCAGCCTTTTTATATTATGTGCTGATAATCTGTATGTCATCTCCAATTTCTCTTCGTTTTAACAAACGCAGTAATGTATTTCTCGCTTCTTGTACACCATTACGGTTCTTTTCACATTCCTCCCCCATCTCCTCCTCCTCCAGTATGTTTGTATTTTGTTTTGTCTTGGTTTATTTATACGTGTAGATACAACAGTGCCTAAAAACTCTGCATACCATCTGGGATAAGTCTTTAACCAGATGGCTTTAGAACCAAGCAGGCAGCTTCTCCTAAAGAACAACTGCCCATTCTGCCCTCAGCACTACGGCGGCACCCAAAGTCTACCCATCCCTCTGTGATATTATTGTGCAAAAGGTAGGGAGAACAGTAACATAAGCCAAGAGCTGCTTAGACCAGGGGGGAGTGGTGCAAAGAGTACATTCAGAAAGCAAAGTGATGCGAGCTAATTAGGAATTTATACTTTAGTTCAAGCAAATTATTATATTGTCATCCCTCAAGAACAACAACAACAAAAAAGACTACAATGGGTAATTCAGCTTATTAACTCCTTTACTACTGTCTGTCTGCCAAACGACAAAAAAACTACTGAATAAAGTACAGAATTTATTAGAAGCATTTAATGTATTAATAGTCCATAAATACGAGGCAAAACAATGATTTTGTGTTTAAAAGGCTGTTCAGGGATACCTGAATTAAAATGAATTTACTTTTTTTCCTTTTATTATTACTTTACAGAAATATAAGAGGGTGGGGGGGGGGGAGGGTGTAAGAAGTTATGCAGTATCTTTCTATAATTCAGACTGGTAGTAGTAGGATTACAGTTGCCCTTGCCCTATTAATCTTTTAGATGGTGTGCAGTTCATTTCCATATTTATTTATTTGAGATTATTTTCTTTTAATTAGTGTTCCAACCTGACACTTGTCCCTGATCCTTTTAGACTGTAAGCTTGTTTAAGCAGGGAACTGTTTACCTGCTGTTTCCGTATGTCAAAAATTTACTGTTAAAATTGTTTGTCTATTGTACCTACTGTAGAATTGGTGCTATCTAAATAATTGTACTTGTAATTTAAACTTGGCTGTTTCAAAACAAAACATCAGCCTACATCAAGCATTACTTAAGATAAATGAAATATCTATCAACCCTACTTCACGAGCTCTCTGCCTTGGCGTCTTACTACCTAAATCTTTAAAATAAAGCTTTTATTTGACCTTTTCTAAGTGAAGAAAGCTAGAAACAGTTTAACCACCCTATTATCTACTTTATAAACTACTGCAAGCCACTTTTAACTCATCAGTTGTACTGACTTTACAGAGTGTAATTGTTGACGACTTATCTTTGTTCCTGCCACACTTCGTAACTTTTTCCACAATTGTATACTATAGGTATATACAGAGAAAGATCATTTCCAGAAACCTGTATTAACATGTAATAAACTTGTCTGTCTTCATCATATTTAGCTACTTTTATATTTGAAACAGGTTGTTGTTGAGAACCTGGTGACCGCTATATGTATAAGATCTAATTAACTCATTACTTTTAGATTTTCTTGATTAGATTTCAATGTCTTTTTAATCAGATTTTCTTCCTTTATTATAACATCCATGAGCAAGGGGGAGCACTAATCTCAGACATTGATTTCCTAATGAATGCTGTTTATTCCTTTATGCCAAATCCAGCACAGGTCATTGGACAGAAAGCAATGTGTTTCTGATACTGCTTTACAGTAGAGAGATATCAAAAAAGATAAATATTATGCTATATGCTATAGTTACCAAAACAGGTAACTTAATGAAGCCGTTTTGGTGTATAGATCACGCCCCTGCATTCTCATTGCTAAATTCTATGCCATTTAGGAGTAGAGATGTCGCGAACCGTCCGCGAACTTCTCGCGAACGGTTCACTGCGGTTCGCCACGAACCGTTCGCGGCGAACTCCGGTCAGCTGACACATCCCTGCCAATCTCCGGCAGACCCTCCCTCCCAGACCCTCCCACCTCCTGGACAGCATCCATGTTGAAGCTGCTTCAACATGGATGCTGTCCAGGAAGTAGGAGGGTCTGGGAGGGAGGGTCTGCTGGAGATTGGCCAGGATGTGTCAGCTGACCGGAGTTCGCCGCGAACGGTTTGTGGCGAACTGTTCGCGAGAAGTTCACGGACGGTTCGCTACATCTCTATTTAGGAGTTAAATCACGTTGTTTATGAAGCCCTAGAGGCATATCTCCCTGCATGTGACTTACACTGCCTTCCTAAGCACTTCCTGTAAAGAGAGATCTAATGTTTACACTTTCTTTAATGCAAATTCTATTTAGTTTAGAATTTTTTTTCTCTGTCAGTAGCCTGCTAGACTCTACAATAGCCTCCTGTGTGTGATTAAAGCTCAATGTACACAGCAGGAGACAAACGCTTAAATCAAATTACATCTGATTTGTATTTGATGTACTCATGTCTGCTTCAATTGATACCGACCTCTATGAAACATTCACTATTTTGCAAAATGGACATAAATTAAGAAAATTTGCATTTTTAAACTTTAGTGCTTAAAGTTGATGTGTCAATAAAATAAAATTAATCTAATCGGCTTCTATATTGTTCCCTGTGTTTGAATACTTTTTATTTCTATTTTTTATTTTCAGAAAAAAGTGACACTTTTCCTAATGTATAGCAGTCAAGTTGACAAAATTTGACAATTGGCGTGGCTTGGAACAAACTCCACTTCTACTGTCAAGTTATGTTTACCCATCATTTTTAGCTGTCCTTCTGGTCCTATCATGACATGCCCTGCTGTCCTCTATAAGACTATGTTGACTGATAACATAAATGGGCATAGATGGAATCTGCTGCACACAGTCTCAAATGACACTGGAAGACAGTTACCACATATCACTGCCAGACGATATAATATGATGGCTGCCAGACTGAAGATCTGGTGGCAGCTTCGGAGACCAGACATTAAAACTGGGGGCCGAAGGCAATAAAAAAAGATATTGCTGGCAATGTGAGGGTACAATGAGATGTTGAGAATAATAAAAAAGCCTGTGACAGAGCAACTTGAAATGTCACTTGTGTTTTGTTCTATTCACCTAGATGAGGCAAAAGGTGGTAACTTTGTGTGTTACGTATAATTTAGCATCTCCAATTAATATCTGTGGAAGATGTTAAATCTTTCAGCAGCCTCTAATTCCCCTCAGTCAATAGCTACGTTTTGAAGCATTGAAACTGTTGTAAATCACTAACAATAGTGGCAGCCATTTTAGTGATTCTCAGTTTGTTGCTAAATGATTGAGAGAAGATGAAAACAAGCACAGAGTTTGGTTTGCAGTAGAGAATTCAGCTAATTCCTGCAACAAATCTCTTCTAAGATGTAGGAATTCTAGGGATACTATAGGCACCAAAACAACTGCAGCTTAATGAAACAGTATAGAGCAAAATCCTGTAGTCTTACTGCTCAATTCTCTGCCATTTGGGAGTGAAATCATTTTTCTTTTTTCTATATGCAGCTCTAGCCACACCTCCCCTAGCTATGACTCACACAGCTTGCATGAAAACAATGTTCATTTTCATTTAGGTGTTAGCTTGTTTTAAAAGTTTTTATCTCCTGCTGTGTAAATTGAGCTTTAATCACACACAAGAAGCTACTGCAGGGTATAGCAAGCTACTGTCAGAGCAGAAAATAAGACATTTTAAACTAATTGGAATTTGCAATAAAGGAAGTGTAAACATTAGATCTCTCTTTACAGGAAGTTTTTAGGAAGGCAGTGCAAGTCACATGCAGGAAGGTGTGATTAGGACTGCATTAACAAAGTGATTCAACTCCTAAATGGCAAATAATTGAACAGTGAGACTGCAGGGGCATGATTTATAGACCAAATCTGCTTCATTAAGGTAATTTGTCAAGTTGTTTTTGTGTTAATAGTGTCACTAAGGACACTAGAGTCACCAGAACATCTACAGCTTAATGTAGTTGTTCTGATGTCTACAGCCTGTCACTGCAGGCTTTTTAATGAAAATTCTACCTTTTCAAAGGGTTGTTGGGGACCCTATACTGGTAACCTGTCAAGGACCCTACAAAGACATAATTGGGCACTGGGGTTAAGAAATGACTTGTTTGAATAAAGAACTTTGTTCCTTTTGCCATGACCCAAAATCCAAATGTGAAATATGTCTGACCTGTGTCTCACTGTATAAATGGAAAGGATATTCAGTAATTGCCATGACGGGCACAGGACAAATCAATGTAATGTAATCAAGCCAATGTTTCCTGTTATCTGCTGTATGATTTGCGTGTCTTGATTGTTTGCCCATGACTCTATCCATCTGTAAGACTGCATTAACATCCATGCTATGCTAGGTCTGTAATTTCACCTCTAAGTATAACCACATATCTAGGATATTATCTTATAGCACAGCAGTATCCACAAGTTATGTAACAAAATAATATGAATTAAGCAAGACTTTATATTACTAAATACACATTCCTTTCTGCTGGAAATATTATATAGTATACAAATATTATGTATATAGTATAATACAATGTGATGTGGCTGTAAAGTAAAAGACAACTAACGGACAATATCCCTGTGTTTGCAAAAAAAAGCAGCAAGGGTTTTTCAAAATTTTAGATTTTAAAGCATCCATAGAACTTATTAACCCTTTTCCTATCAAGGTCTTTTTCCTGATAGCACAGGACATAAAGTTATTATCAGAAGCATATGCAGAAAGAAGCATAGGTCGCAACAGTCCTTACATATTGTGGCAGCAGAGAAGGAGGATTTGTGGCTATCAACTGTATACCCTGGTGGCCAACACAGGATCTATCTGAGCAATTGCTGCCTCTTGATTTTTTTTTTCACTGAGCGAAACAAACCAGGAAGTAACATGACCGGTTGTCTGGTAGACAGCCATGGGGGTATAACCAAAGTTAATTTATAAAAGTGTAAATTGCTGTTGAAATCTACACTTTTTGTAAAATGAAAAAAAAGAGGACACACATGCTTCACACATAGAACATTTCAACAAGCTAAAGTGCTTTAGGGGTCACGTGTGTCCATTTAAGCATGGACATATCTCTGTAAATGTTCCTTCATACAGATTGAGGTTACAGGGTCCTATCATAGGGTCCCTAGAAGCCTATATCTGTCAAATATATAGACATTGCATGCTCCACGATTATTAGAAAATGTTCAATTTCTCCTCTCATTAAATTCTCCATTAGGTCACATGTTGCATTTCAAAGGTCGACACTTGGTTATTAGGTGGGATCTCATCTTCCACCTTAGCCTTACAAACAAAGCAACATGTCCATACAGAATGCCATATTATTTTGATCAGTATGGCCTATTAAGTTATTTGTGTGAAAGCACAATGCATGGGTACTATCACTGAACTCTTGAATCTGCTCAACTGTATGTTGTTGTCTTGTTTTGTAGGGTTATAAAAACATTCCTTTAATACCGAAAGCTCATTTACAACAAATAAAGAGGCACACAGATTTTGGTATTATTTTACTAGATCCAAAAGCTATTCACTGTAAGAGATCTGTGTGGGCAGTCATTGTCATGTTGAACTCCTTTGTTTGTTTTGCTAGTAGGTAATGATCCTCAATCACACTTTGCATAACAACGGTTTTAAAAGCACACACAGACAAAAAGCAGAAGATTCATCATAGGAAAAGTACCTGTAAATCTCAATATTATGATATGTTAACTGATAACTATTATATGACTGGATCTTAAAGGGGAATTATAGTCACCAGAAACACTACAGCTTAATGTAGTTGTTCTGGTGTCTATAGTAGTCCCTGCAGGCATTTTCATTTCATTTACATTACCAGAGGTGCTTCCTGGGTCAGTGCTGGATAATGTGGAGGTGCTCAACTTTCCTCACAGAGGTGCATTTTGTCGTGCGTGCACATTATCCTCCCAATGCTTTAATATGAGAAAGCATTGGATTCGCTGAGATCTTCTATTCTGATTATCTCAGCCATGGAAGAGGATCAGGAATATACTTTTGTATTCCTGACCCTATAGTGTTCCTTTAAGGACTATGCATATAATATGGCTGTCCTTTAATATGTGATGTCCAACAGATGGGGGAGATGAAGGTGTGTTTTTGTAATGTTCATTAGAATAAAGATCTTTGCCAGATAATAACAATGGTTTGAATAAGTTTACCTTGTTAATTTTGTTTGTTTTAGGCAGGGTCTGGCTTACATGGAGGTCTGAATAACGGGGTGGTTTTCGCAAAGGATTATTGATGTCACATGGTACAGATTCTGTTCGGACCAATCGTGCTTTAATGGAAGAGATACAAGAAGCATATTCAATAAAAAGTCAACATAAAGACGACACAGTAATTAATCACTGTTTGATTAAACACAACTAGATTAAAAGCGCACCTCATGAAGAAACTCAGTAAAATATAGGTTGATTAGATTTCCATTTTAAGATTGGAATCAATCATAGGAGTATTACCAGATTTCTGAAACTTGTATCACTTATATTCCACAAATGTCCCACTTTGCAACTAAAATCGGATCACCACTCAAGGAACCTTCAAGGATGTTTCATAGAAGGGATGGTTACAAGGAAGAAGCTAAGCTCTACATTTAAAGAATTTACAGAAAGGGAATGTTTGAAACCTTGTTGGTACAGTATAGGAAAATTGCCTAAGCAGGAAATGATTCAATGTAAACACGTCTCTAATATCTTGGGAAATATGCCAGGCAAAATCTATGGGATTTGTTCATTAAACAATTAGTTTTAGAAAGGTATACAAAATGAGGCCTCGATTTATTACATTGTTCTGATGTTCAATACTGTTAAAAAAAACTTTCCAAATTATTAATCTACGAAAATGCGCATAGACTTAAAGGACCACTCTAGGCACCCAGACCACTTCAGCTTAATGAAGTGGTCTGGGTGCCAGGTCCAGCTAGGGTTAACCCATTTTTTCATAAACATAGCAGTTTCAGAGAAACTGCTATGTTTATGAATGGGTTAAGCCTTCCCCCTATTTCCTCTAGTGGCTGTCTCATTGACAGCCACTAGAGGCGCTTGCGTGCTTCTCACTGTGATTTTCACAGTGAGAGCACGCCAGCGTC